CAGAAGCTAAATTCAGATGGATCAATTGGCAAACACAAAGAAAGATTAGTAGCAAGAGGCTTTCTACAAAATCCTGGGCTGGATTACTCTGAAGTGTTTGCACCTGTAGCAAGACATGAAACAATCAGACTAGTGATTGCAATAGATGCTAACAGGAATTGGCCTTTGATACATTTAGATGTAAAATTTATATTTTTGAATGGTCCATTACAAGAAGAGGTATACATGTCACAACCTCATAGATTTGAGAAAAAGAATCGGGAAGGGATGATGTTCAAATTACACAAAGCCTTGTATGGATTGAAGCAAGCGCCCAGAGCCTGGAATCTGAAGATTGATTCATTTTTCAAGGGACAAGGGTTTCAGAAGTGTGAGATGGAGTATGGTGTTTATGTTCAGCACACTACAGAAGGTAATACGATTTTGGTCTGTTTGTATGTTGATGACACATTACTCACAGGAAGTTCTGAACAAGAGATAATTGAGTTCAAGAAGGTTCTGATGAATGCGTTTGAGATGAGAGATCTTGGGAAAATGAGTTTCTTTTTAGGGATGGAATTTATGTATTCTGAGAAATGAATCATTTTACATCAGATGAATTATGAACTCGAGCTTATGAATAGATTTGAGCTAGAGAACTGCAAAGTTACTATCACATCTACTGATACGAATCAGAAGTTGGAATCTAATTTTGATGAAGAGAATGTGCATTCTACAACCTTCAAACTGTTGGTTGGTTCTTTGAGGTATTTGTGTAATACCAGACCTGATATTTTCTATGCAGTTGGAATGATTAGCAGATTTATGAGTAAACCAAAGTGGTCACATTACCAAGCTTCTGTCAGGATTCTGAGGTATGTGAAGGAAACTCTGAAGTATGGAGTGTTATTTCCTTCTGAAAGAAAGATCGAATCAGAACTTCTGAGTTATTCAAAATCTGATTGGTATAGAGACATAGTTGACAGAAGAGGTACTTCTGGATACTTATTCAAATTTCTGGGAGGTCCTATTTCTTGGTGTTCCAAGAAGAAACCTATTGTTGAACTGTCAACATGTGAAGCTGAATATATTACAGGAACTATGACTGCATGCCAAGTTGTGTGGATTTTGAACTTACTGCAAGATCTAAAGATTGAGATAGAAAAACCTCTGAAGCTGGTGATTGATAACAAGTCTGCAATCAATCTTGCCAAGAATCCAGTGTTGCATGAGAGAAGCAAGCATATTGAGACCAATTATCACTTTTTGAGGAATCAAGTTCATAGTGGAATATTAGAAGTTGTGCACTGTAGCACCTAGAAGCAGTTGGTAGATGTTCTGACAAAGGCTATCAAGACTGATCAATTTCTTCGTCTGAGAGATGAAATTGGTGTTGTCAGTTTTGTGTAAATATAAGTTAAGGGATGGCGTTGGAAATAATTTATATTTTAGGAATATCTTTGTTAGAGGGTATTTTAGTATTTTATTATACCATAATTTTGTGTATAAATAACCTAGCAGTAGGTAGGTCATTGTAATTCATTATTCCTTATTCTGTAGCCGTCATTAAATACATTCCTTTTGTCTTTCATCTCTCCTTATACACCAACAGGTAACACGCTACCTAGTTTATCACTACGACCAGACGTCTACGGTAGAAAACAAAAATATTTACAACTATACCCTACTTAACCACGGTTGATTAACCGTCATAGTATCTCTTTTTCAATTGTGGTGAAAAGGTATTTTGCATTAAAGTGTTATAATGTGTTAAAGAAGACAAAATGAAGTGAAGAGAAAAAACATATCATTATAAAACTTTCTAGGTCAAAAATGAAAACACGATGAATACGATAAAGAGGAAAGGAAACATCAAGTTTATATTATATTTAGTTTGTTTTAGTTTAATATAGGAATATTAGTTTTGTGAACAGGTGGTATAAATAGATCAAAATTATAATTTAACCTTTTAATTTATGAGATTAAAGATATTATTAAATTATATTATCATTTAATAAAAATTCATTAATCTATCATGTTATCAACATAATTATAAAATAAAAGTGTGATTTGACAGAATACATCAATAATTAATTGATAGCGTAAAATTAATTTACACCGCCTGTGTTACGTATATATTATTTTTTTTTCTTAATTTATATGAAAAATTATAAACCACCTAAAATTTGAAATAAAGAGAGAAGCTTATCTAATATTGTACTATAGATAATTAAGGAAATCTAGAGGAGTAATTGTTTCCCTAAAATGCAAGCATAATGAATTAGCAAAAAAACAACAACTAGTACTACTAAGAATGATGATGCCTCTTGATATTTCTAGAAAAACACGTAATTATCATTTTAACTATAATATATCGGTTTTTCTTTAAAAAAATCCTACCAACTAACCTCAAATATGATAATAGACAATGAACTTTTAAAAATTAATTAATTAAATTAATTTTAAGTAAAAATAATATAAATTCTTAAACACTCTTGTTAATTATAGTTAGTAAGATAATTAAATAAAAAAAATTTAGTCCAAAATGATAAAAATATAAATATAACTTTTCTTATGAGACAGAAGTATATAATTAATTACTCACGATTATATATCAAAGGTCTAAGTAGGGTAACACAAATCATAGGATTCCCAAAAGTAGAGCTTCTGCATGGGCTGGGGAACACACAAATTTTAAGGGTTGTAATCACAAATCATAAGGAAAATTTTCATTTTGAGATAGCTTTTATTTAGGAATATAGGATATGGGTAAAATATTATAGTATCCGTTTTTATATTTGTTGTTGAAAAAAATTCTCGCATTTGATTCCATATTTATTTAGGTAATAATTTTAACATTTGTATCCATGTCTTTTGGATATATAAGTATTCATTTTCGTATTTTTAATAAAAAATAAATATATAAAATATAAAATGTCTTTTTATTTTAAGTCATTAGGGACATTTAAATTTTTTCAAAAAATTTATTATTGAATTATTAAATAAATAATTATTTATGTTACGTAAGTAATAATTTAACATTGATGTATTTTTTAAAATTAATAAACAATTATATATATATATATATATATATATATATATATATATATATATATATATATATATATATATATATATATATATATATATATATATATATATATATATATATATATATATATATATATATATATATATATATATATATATATATATATATATATATATATATATATATATATATATATATATATATATATATATATATAAAATACGCACAATCGTGTAAACTAATTTTTCAAATCGAAGACAATTATTAAAAAAGATAAAACTTTTTTTTTATATTATTTTTTTTGGTTGAATAGTCTAGTGACTGAAGTTCATCTAATTAAAGATGAACAATTAAGATATTGTAGGTTTGAACTCGCGGTCCTGTACTTGATGTCCTTATATAACTATCAACTGAACTGCTTTAACGAGACTTCTTTCTTAAATTTTAATTAAGCTGAAACAAATCTCCCTATTATCTTATTTAATTGCTCTTAGATTTTTATAATTAATTGATAATTATAACACTCAATTAAATGAAAGTAATTTAAAAAGAAAAGAAAAAAAAAGAAACCAACATGAACATAACATTTTCCAATATGAAGTAGGTGGTGCAATCCAAGTGTTTATCCAATTCTATAGAAACGTGACAGCCTAAAACACCATTACATCTCTTGTCTAAGAAGCAATCTATAAACACATTGACTTCATGAAATTCTCATGAAAATAAACATTTATAATCATATATGATGAAACAATGTGGAGGTTGAAGGTGTGATAACTTTAGAGCAATAAGATGATTATTTTCTTTTTACAATAAGGCACAATAAGACCATTGTTGAAAAAGTAGGTAAATAAAGATACCTCTTTTACTAGAATGTCAAAGAAAGGTTTGAGAACTTGAAGAAAAGATAAGGAAGCATGTCCTCAATTTTATATCATGTTGTTGGCCATCCATTCTCACCATCATAAAGTCATTACTCAATTGGATTCTTCCTTTTTGGATTTTTCTTAATGGTGATTCTTAATGTTAAATACCCACCTCTAATCACCCTCTAATCCTCATGGACTTTCCTTAGGGACTTTTTCCCTCATTAGTCTCCATACTAAATAATGTCTCATCTTATTAATTACATTCAAACGTCTTTAAACAACTATCAATTAAAGTGATTTAATCAATTGAATTGACTTAAAATTACTCTTTTTACTAAAGTGTATCAATGGTGAGTAGTAAAATTATTTTAAGCAATTTTTACATCATTTTAGATGAATCGGACGGTTGAGATTAAAAGTTGAGCAAAGTGTCACAATTTCAGACTAGAAAATAGAAGAACTCACACACCCTCCTTTTTCTCCATATAGACATTCTTTCACTCTTTGCATCTTCACTTTCTTCTCAGAAATTGCAACATATGTAAATTTATTTTCTCTCTTTCTCTGTGAAAAGGGTCTGAATTTACCTTGTGATTATCACAAATCTTCATTGTTAGCAAAATCTTTCACAATTTCAGAGAAATTCAACACCCCAACAACCTTAAACACTTTGATATGTCATCAGATATAAGCTAAAATTCGGAATTAAGCTTCAAGAACATAAGGTGTTTGTTTAAATGCGCGTTAATTTTATGGCTATTGTGAAATTTTGTTGTGCTAGTAGTTTTATTTTTTCAGTGTAATTGAGGGTTTGGTTGTGTTTAATTTAACGATTGTGAGGTAAAGTTTGAAGCTTTTGTTGGTGGGGTGGTGGGAATTTTGTGGTGTGAGTGATGGGTGGGGATCGTGTGTTACTATTACAAACTGTTGGAAAAGAACCGCCATTAAAACGGCGAGCTGGGTTGCGGAGGAAGCAAGCTGGAAGAGGGTCTTACAGAGGGAGCTAGCTAGTTAGGGGAAGGTGATTGATTGGATTGGGGGGTTTTTTCGTCTTTTTTTGGTGGTTTCAAGGTTTCTAAGTTTTTAAAGGGAAGAAGAAGATGGGTAGCAATTTACATCAGCTACTCAGAAGTCTTTGTTTCAATACTCATTGGAATTATGCTATATTTTGGAAACTCAAACATTGTCCTCCAAATCCAATGTATGTTATTACTACAACTTTTGTTCATTTGGTTATGTTACTAATGCACTTAGCATAAAGAGTTATGTATTATTACCTTCAATTTTCGGGACGCGGTACTTTTTTGTTGCAGGATCTTAACATTGGAGGATGCTTACTATGATAATTCGGATTATTTTGACTCTTCAGAAAATAAGTACTGTCAAAAGGCCTTGGAACAGATTAAGGGTGGGAAGTTTTCTGATGAAGCTTTGGGGTTAGCTGTGGCAAAGATGTCTTATAATGTATACACATTAGGGGAAGGGTATGATTAATCAAATGTAACATTTTACTTGAGATTTGAAACTTTTGTTTACGTAGTGCTTGTTCTAAGATCCTTTGTGTGCAGTGTTGTTGGACAGGTAGCTGTTACTGGAAAAGATCGGTGGATTTGTGCAGATGATCAAGTTACAAGTTTGGGTTTGTCTTTTGAGGTGAGAATTCTTGTTATTGAATATTGTCCTTTCTCATTCAGGCTTAGAAAATTTGACGGTATTTATTTACTTGGTATTGGACAAGTACATGTTACTATTTAACTAAACTTGCAGCCATTCTCATTCTTTTCCTCCTTTTGGTTTGATTTTCAGTTTGATGATTTGTGGCAAACTCAGTTTTCTGCTGGAATTAGGGTAAGTTAACTGATTTCTTAGAATTGGAAGAGTGAACTTCACATGTCTATCTAGAAATTAAAATTGCCTCACAATACCAATAGTAATAGCATTAGCACCAAGTAGTATTGTTAAATGACCTCTATAGCGCTATAGCATAGCAGAATTTGAACAAATCGACAGCGACATGCTATATAGTACAAAATGTTGTCAAATAGAGGCTATAGCAACGTTATAGCTGTTATGTAGCAGGATTTGAACAAACCGCTATTTTCTGTGATCCGCGATTGACAATTATGATACCAAACCATTATATGGTTCTGGCTTAATGTTCTACTTTCACTAGTTGCAACCAAATTATATTGAAATCATATAATGTTGCATTCCAATTTAGTGTACTTATTGCCAGAGACCTAGAGATTCTTTGATTGAAAATGATTTCTTAGTCTACATCACTTTACTTGTCTGTTCTGAAGTTTTTCATTGACAAAACTTTTACTTTTCCTTGTAGACAATTGTTGTTGTGTCTGTAGTCCCACTTGGCGTTGTTCAGCTTGGTTCTCTAATAAAAGTAAGATGAGCACTTTTTAATGTTTATTTCCTTTGCTTGAGCAACATACTATCTCTTCATGATGCTGTTCATAGCAGACCTTTATTTGTTGTGATTTTAAAATTTATTCGTGTTCTTTTGCTTGAATGTATCGTGACAATTCATGTTTTTAGTCTCCTTGGTATAAATAGTTGATTTTTTTTTTTTGAAAATAATAATTAGTTGAATTCTATTCTTTTTGAAATGTGCTATGGTTTTGATGGTGTAGGATATTTCCTGGATATAAGCTCATGTGGAAGTTCATTTATTATGTATAACACTTGACAATTTGCATTGCTTCTGCCACCCCTTGCCCTTGCTGCAGGTGAATGAAGATATGGGGGTTATTAATCATATAAGAAATCTATTTTTGTCTACTCAAGATTACTCAATAGACCACATTCCGAGCCAAATACAACGTAGTTTGAAAAGCTCTTCATCTCAGGTAAGCTTCTTCGTCATGGACCCGGATTGCCTGTAGTAATTATTCCACACATAGTCAATATCGGCATTGATTTAAGATCGAGCGATTTACACATACAGTAAGTCAATTTTAAACGATCTGGATCATTGGTTTAGATTGGATGGTCGAGATCAGTAACTGCATGACACAGTTACTGCTGCTAATCTGTTTTGAGCACTATCATGTGGTTTATTTTTCTTATTTTTTTCAGCAGGGTATCTTGAAGGAAAAATCATCGTCAGATATTATGCCTGCTTGCATGACGAATGAAACAGTGGATGTTTTGATGCCCCTTCAATGTTCTGGGAGCAACAGTGCTACTAATTCTGCATATTGGGAAACGGGTGATGATGTGGTCAAGCTCGAAGGACCCGAGCTCAATAGTGTTTTGAGCCCCATTTTGCTTCGGTCAACGTTTGATATGATTAATGTAGAGCATCAGGAATTTGGAGAGATAGGACCTCTAAGTGCGAGGGAGTGTGCAGGGGGCAGTGATGGCTGCAAAATTATGAGATTGGAATCGGAACAAAATCTATTATCATTTTTGAACAATTCTGTTATAAATAATGACGGCGTCAGTGATTTGATACACCATTCTGAAAAGGCCAGAGTTGATTCTGCATGCTTTCCTACAGATTTTCTTGACACATATGTTTCTGAAAGTGACAAGTCCGGTAAACACAGCAAAAAGTCAGAATTTTGGACTGTGCCTTGTGGCCAGGATACCTCCTATACAGAGTTGAGTTTTCCGGCTGGCTGTGAACTACACGAAGCACTTGGACCAGCATCTTTGAAAGGGAGTAAATATTTTGATTCGCTGGCACAGGTTAATCAAGATGTGAAAGTTATGGATATGCCAGACACAGTTAACACTAGTCAATCGACTCCGGAGCATCTTTTGGAAGCAATGGTGGCCAACATTTGTCACAGTAGTAATAATGATGTTAATAGTGAATCATCATTTTATAGATCAAAGCAATCTGCAATAAGTTCTGGCAAAAAACCTGAAGTTTCTATTCAAAATGTGCATACTACTGTTAATCCAGAAAGCTATTCAATAGATCATCCTTGTCTTTTCAGAGAGGAAAAACACCATTGTTTGAGCTCATCGTCAGGGGTATGCGGTGTTATGTCATCTCAAGGCATTTCTTCTATATGTCCTAGTGCTTGTAGTGAACAACTCGAAAGGTCATCTGAACCATCTAAAAACATCAAAAAGAGGGCTAGACCTGGAGAAAGTTGCAGACCTCGGCCAAGAGACAGGCAACTGATCCAAGATCGAATTAAGGAGCTGAGAGATTTGGTTCCAAATGGTGCAAAGGTATCTTGCTGTAGTATTTTTCTTTCCCTTTTTTTGGGTTAAGTGATGGTTGCAATTCTGGTTCGTGTGGCTAAACATTTTTGTGTTGACTTCCAACAGTGCAGTATTGATTCTCTACTGGAGCGCTCAATAAAGCACATGCTCTTTCTGCAAAGCATAACTAAGCATGCTGACAAGCTAACGAAGTTCGCTAATTCTAAATCAAAGGTAAGGTTTAAAGGGATTTGAGAAATATATCCTATTGTCTTTCGTATGTAAAAAATTAACCGACTTCATGTTTGATCAAGCTGGGATTGATATTTGAACTGATTTCTCGCCTTTGTTCAATACTGGAAATAAGTTTCAAACCTTCTTTAATCTCCTGAAATTTCGCAGATGCATCATTTGGAAGCAAACATTCTTGGATCCTCTAGTAATGAGCAGGGTTCAAGTTGGGCAATGGAGGTAGGGGGTCATCTAAAAGTTCATTCAATATTAGTGGAAAATCTTAGCAAGAACGGACAGATGCTTGTTGAGGTACGGATATGAGTATGACTTGAAAATTACAATCTGATTTATTGATTAAAGACAAAACTACAATCTGATACACAAAATGAAAAACCTTCCTCATGGAAAATGGAGTTGGTTCGGACTCGTAATCATCTATTGCATACATTTTCTATTTTAATTCTGACTTTTTCCTGTAGATGCTATGTGAAGAGTGGAGCTATTTTCTTGAAATAACGGAAGCCATAAGAAGCTTAGGCCTTACAATTTTGAAGGGTGCAACAAAAACTCGCGATGACAAGATGTTAATATGCTTTATTGTTGAGGTAAGATTTCATCAGCATTAAACAAGATACATTATCAAATAGAAACTGCAAGATGGATTATCATGTCGTTATATTAGCTATCAAGTGATTATTGTTGACGATCAAATTGTGTCTCAGGTTGAAAACAACAAAAATGTACACCGATTGGACATCTTGTGGCCGCTTGTTCAGATATTGCAATCAAAGAGCACTGTACAGCAACAGTAACTGGTTGATGCATAGAAAATTCGCTACCTTTATTTGTTCCGGGAACTAATTACTGATCACTGAAATGATGCTCAGGATTTCTTACCCTTGTGTGTTCAGGACTCTAATTATTGTTTTTCTCAAGTCTGGTTTGAGTATTTGAGTGTTTGTTTGTGTTTGGCATTGAAATAATACAATGCATTGACCACTTATCTTTTGATGATCATTTAAAAATATAGCTTTGTGAGCTTAATAATGGAGAATCAACATAACTTATACAGGTTTGCTTATGCTCATGGAGGGTTGAATTGGAACTTAAGGTGGCATGTGTTTGTATTGAAATGTGATTATTAGTTATCAATAATGTAAAATCAAATTTAAGTTTCTATAAATTCATGAAGTTATTTTAAATCACCTGCAATTTCTGAAAAATTAAAACTCGGTTGGACATGTGGTTGGCCTGAATAGTAAGGAACTAGATAGTGCCTTTAAGTTCAAACAGTGTTAGATAAAAAAATATGGGTAATGTTAAGATGTGTTCCAAAGGCACATGATAAGTAATGTTTCTTTTGGAAATTGTGCATTGTATTAGTTAAAAATTTATAATTAATTTATAATTGTTTTTTTCAATACAAACTATATATTTTTAGGTTTAGTAACATATGCATTACCCTTTTTTTAATTCAAAGAAAATTCATGTAAGGATTGTGCTTGTATACATAAGGGAGTATCTTGGATCCAAATTTGGTTTTTGGACACTTTAGCGTTTTTGGCAAGTACATGCACTACATTGTTAGTAACACGCTCCGATAGGGAAACCCTAGCTTTCCTCAGTCTCTTCATCTTCTTACGAATGTTGTTCCCTAACATACCGTACAATGTTTTATGATCCTTGCAGTCGTTCAACATCTTAGCCAAGTTTGTCATCCATTTCGAAAATGACTTTCATGAAACAACGCTCAATAGCAACATCTTAGTGGTGTTATTCTCAATTATCTTTCTTGATCTTCTTACCACTCTAGGTTTGGTTGCCATGCATGGTTACAACTTGCAAATGCATATCCGTCTCCTTTCTTTTTTCTTTTATTTTTTCTTATCATCTCCTTCATTATGATTCGCAAGGTGTTTTGATGGTTAATGATATTCCTATTGGAGATATGGCTGACATCTTCCTTGTTTTTTACTTCATACAGGTTACCTTTAACTTGCATTTTACCTTTGTTCCTCATATTGATGTAGATTTGATTTTTAATCCATTTTTGAATGTTTACAGGCTTGTCTTACATGTCTTTGATAGTGTGGATATTATCATCTCCTAATTTTTTCTGACAATCTTTGTTGACCTTGGTATTCTCCTTAGTATAGTGTGTATCAATTTTTTTCATCTTGTTACTAATATTTTTGTTGTTTTTCATGCACACTCTGATTTAAAAATTGTCATTATGGTTTTGGACTTTGTTATCTCTCAGTAATTGAGAATTGGATCGTTATACTAATTAGTTATTATCCTTCTATTCATAGTAGAACCAAAATTATGATTTATTGGTGATGATGGACTCCTGATATAGTGGTATGGATGAACCTGATTGTTTTGCATGCGCGAGCGGGGCGGCCGACCCCCAAAAATGGAAAAATGGGAATAGCGGAATCCCAGATAATGAGATATATTTTGTTGACTTTTTATAATTGACTATGTTTGATTAAATATATAAATAATATAAATAATTTATAAATAATAACCCTTTTATAAAAGGTAAATTAATAAAATAATAATAATATTTTGGTATTACTTATTGCTCCATTACTCCATTTATAAGCAACTTATTATGATGTACTATGTTATACAGTTGTACAACATTTAAAATTAATATTGTCTTTACCTCTTATAAAAAAAATAATAGAGTTTTATGTTAATTTTACAGCTGTACTACTACATTTATAAAATAATAATAATAAAGTTTTATGTTATTGATGTAGACTATCATCTACCTCTTTCTTTATTTTCTATTCCTTTTCTCTATCTCAGCCTCTTCTTCTTCTTTCTTTTCTATTCTACTTTCATTTCCGATACACGTTATTCTCCTTCACGACTTCTTCTTCTTCTTCTTCTTCGATTTTGTCCACATCTAGATTCTTCACGACTTTCTCTTCTTTGATTTTGTCCAAATAAATATTTTAAAAAAAGGAAAATCAGAGTCGCCACTCTACCCGAAAAAATCCCGCGCCCCAGTAACGCGGTTGAAGCGATTGCTTTTCCATCTCCACCATCGCACTCTGCATATCGCGCGGGGGGTGCCGCACCGCTACGGTGCACCGCGATAGCGGCTGGAGCGCCCTGTAGAAACCGGATTTTAAAAAATGGCACAAAGGAAAAGTATCGGGACGAGTCGCGTACTAGGTCGTTTTCTTTAAGACGTTTTGTCGTACTGCCAATGTTAATGCAAAGCAGTCGAGTTTCGACGACGCCTCCAGGATAAAACAGTCCGTTCAATTACGACAATTACTTGCACTATAATTAGTCGTTCGTAAAATGACACCTTTGGATGGTAATTAACCAGTCTTAGTATCTGGATACGAAGTGATCCAGTCGAAAATAAGAGAGAAGAAAATTATAGATGGAGTGAGTGATGAGAGAGAAGAGAGAAGAATTGTAGAAGTAAATTCTGGAACTGCCCAAATGAACTGAAACAACTTAATTTATAAGTAAAAAGGTCTAACTGAATGGAACAGGTCTAGTGGGAGAAAATAGTGGGAGAGGTGGAATTGGCCCAGTCAATAACCAGTGAATAATTAGGTTAAGACTTGGTCTTTTGGAGGGCAAACAAAAACCAGTCAATAATTAGGTTAAGACTTGGTCTTTTGTGCATGACACATCACCATCTATTAATTAATTAATAATAATATTATTAATTAATTTCCACTCTTTTGGGACTAAAATGAATCTTTTAAAATTCACTTTCATGCTAGTTCTTACTTGTGCTCATTTATTGCCCATTTAATGTCAATAAATTATTCCAACTCTCATTCCAAGTTTACATCATACCAAGATTTCCAACAATCCCCCACTTGAATTTAAAAGGTGATTTTTTAGAAGTCCGTCAAACGTTTCTAAGGTTGTGCATAAGGAAAGGTGTCTACGACTTGAACCTTTGCGTAGCAAGTAGGATTCTGATTCAACAAGAGTGACACTATTGTCTTGAACTCTATCTCAGACATCAGACTCGCACACAACCTTTTCTTAAGGTGTATTCTAATAGCCCGTGCTTTAATGGCCCTGCACGTATATCCCGGTTTAGTGAAGGCTCTAGGAATCCTGCCTCGTAATTCCATAGGAACTGGCCTAAGTTCCACAATCACATAGGTGAGTCTATCAAGAGTACTCATGTAGCCTAGGTACTCCCTCATATAGAGTATAGATCTCATTAAGAGTTTCTATTATCTCATCCTCTTATTACTTCAGGATTCATGCTTTACTTGCATGATCATCTCATATTACTCATAACTTGTTATTACCCATTGAACCTATTTCTTGGGATCTCCAGTCATCTAGGTCGGGTTACCATAATGAGCAACTCATTTCTTTATAGGCATTAGTCCCATCCTTTTGGATGTATTATGGACTTTCTCTCTAGCTATTCCTTTCGTCAAAGGATCTGTTAAATTTTCATCAGTGCGTATATGATCCATTCTTACAGCTCCTTTAGAGATATAGTCTCTAACAGTGTTGTGCTTCCTTCTTATTTGACGTCTTTTACCGTTATAATAACGGTTCTCAATTTTTGCAATAGCTGCGGTACTATCACAGTGGATCAACACAATTGGCATAGGTTTTTCCCATAAAGGGATCTCAGCTAGCAAGCATCTCAACCAACTTGCTTCTTCACTAGCTGTGGCTAGTGCTATCATCTCAAATTCCATTGTGGACTGAGCTAGAATAGTTTGTTTCTTTGATTTCCAAGATACAACTCCTCCAGCTATGCTAAATATATAGCCACTAGTAGCTTTGGAATCATATGACAAAGTATTCCAATTTGCATCACTGTACCCTTCTAGTACAGCAGGAAACTTATGATAATGTAGGCCGAGATCCATGGTCCTTTTGAGGTACCTCATGACTCGTTCAATAGCTTTCCAGTGCTCTTTACTTGGTCTACTCGTAAACCTGCATAACAATCCTACGACATATGCAATGTCGGGTCTAGTACAATCAGTGGCATACCTAAGACTGCCAATGATGCTCGCATACTCTGATTGTCTGACACTTTCTCCAGTGTTCTTAAATAGTTTCACACTTGGATCATATGGTGTGCATGCAGGTTTACATTCAAAGTAATTATATTTCTTTAAGATCTTCTCTACATAATGTGATTGATCCAAAGAAATTCCTTGTTCGGATCTCGTGATCTTGATGCCAAGGATCACATTTGCTTCTCCGAAATCTTTCATATCAAAGTTGTTGCACAATAATGATTTCACATCATTAATGGTCTGAATGTTAGATCCAAATATGAGTAGATCGTCAACATAAAGACATATGATAGTGCAAATGCAGTTCTCAGATTTATAGTAAACGCATTTGTCACTTTCATTCACTTTGTACCCACTTGATATCATTAAGTTATCAAATTTTTCATGCCATTGCTTAGGAGCTTGTTTTAGTCCATACAACGACTTATTTAACTTACAGACCTTGTTTTCTTGTCCATAGATTACAAACCCTTCTGGCTGTTCCATATAGATTTCTTCTTCTAAGTCACCATTTAAAAAAGATGTTTTTACATCCATTTGGTGTACTATTAAGTTATAAATAGCAGCTATTGAAATAAGTACCCTAATGGATGTAATTCTAGTGACAGGAGAAAAGGTGTCGAAGAAATCTATATTTTCTCTTTGTCTAAAACCCTTGGCAACAAGGCGAGCCTTGTATTTATCAATAGTTCCATCAGGTTTTAGTTTTCTTTTCAAAACCCATTTACAACCAATTGGTTTGCAACCAAGAGGCAAGTCTACTAAGTTCCAGG